ATATATATATATATAGTTTATTTTTTCACTGAACAATAATAAATGAACAATAATAAATCTGTAGAATTCTTGAGAACACAATACAATAATACAACTTAAATACAAATAAGGATGTTTTCACTGGAAATATCCAGAAAATGAAAATGAAGGAAGTGTGAAAAGCTCCATGCAGAGGGTGTGTGTTTTTCAAGTCAGGCCTCTTTGTTGTTTTGTACACAAGGTTCCACTCTGTGTGTATATGTGCACACCTGTGTCTATGTGCACTAGTGCAACAGGACAAAGTTCGCAGTGTACGCACAGGCCCGGCCTCTCCCTCGGGAGCCAATGAGACTGGCTCCTGGTACATAACTCCATCTAGTCCAGCCCCTCATTTCAATTTAGCTCACACAGCTGTCAGGTACCTGCAGCATAGCAAAACAAATCGTAAAAGTTCACAGCAAACGTCTTCCACACACTCTAATGACAGTGTCTGTACAGTGTGTTCGTCTGACAGTGTAGATTGACTCTAACCATGCCTGTCTTCAACATGCTTGCAGATTCCAGCTCTTTCGGATCTCAGGTGAGGTTTCTGTTCCTTTTCCAGTGAATCTGTGAATCTAGTTCTGCCCTTCAGGGTCTCATTTACTCCTATTGATTACCATTTAAAATAGAAAATTCTCTTTTATAATGCATTTTAAAGTTGCTGTGGCATCATTCATGGAATTGTTACTGAAGAAATATTACTTTATTAAAGTTTGATTGCCTGGTTATGGGGAAAAATTATGAGATTGTTTCTAGCCCAGAGTTCATTGCAGTTTCGAGTGATATATACGTTATGGATTGTGCATTTATTTAATTGCACACCAGTTTTATTAATTGCACGGTCATCATTTTGCAATAACAAACCCATTGTCATTTATATAGCATGTAATAAGGATATTGACATGCAATTTGCCCAGAGTGCAGTTCAACACTGATGGTAAATTGCATGGAGGAAATTCTTCATCTTTGTGCATATGCTACAGGATGAACGTGTTCTTGTGAAGTGGTGTGACAAATAGTGTTTACTTGTCAAAAATTAATGATGAGACTAATTGCGTGTTTGCGCAAAGTTTTACTTAATCATCAAATTATTAATGCATTACAATGTCTGTGTTTGGCAACAGTATGAATCATGTGCTTTATTTACTTTGATTACAGATTGGAAAAACACCCGGTCGTGGAGGAGACACAGGTAAATCACGAACACACAATTAGTCACATTTTGCATTCTTAAAGGGACAGCTCACCCAAACATGGCAATTCTGTCATTATTTATTCACTCATGTTGTTACAAACCAGCTTGCTGCTGTTTTTGTCAGTGGATCACAAAAGGATGATTTTGAAATGTGTAAGTTCGTCATTGTTATGGCTGTAGAGTTTCATGCTTTCAAAACATGCATAGTCTTGTACATTACATACTTCTCCAATCTGAGCTAGATTGCGTATTTTTAGTCTGGAGTCTTTGAGCCATAGTGTTGTCGTTTGCTTTGAAGGCAAGCTCATGCACGTAACTAGGACTTGGTGTCAGATGTAAATCAGATATGAGCGGGAAAATATTTAACCCCTGTAGCTCTATTGTTTAGCTTTGCCTGCAAAGATAGGACCTTAGTAGACAATCCAGTCTATAATTCCCACACCCCCTCGGTGCAAATTACTTAACCCACTTCTTCCAGTCTAATCGTATTATGTGGGTGTCTTAAGCTGTGGAAAGCTTTCCTGACCCCCAGTTTAAACTATTAGCACAGGCAGTTTTTAAAAAGTTCACGTCTTGTCGGCGCCAATAGCCTCGTGGTTAGCAACTGCGCTCACTGCGACCCGAGTTCGATTCCCGTCTCGAGGTCCTTTGCCGATCCCGCTCCCCTCTCTCCTCCCAGTGCTTTCCTGTCATCTCTCTAATGTCGTATCTCAACAAAAAAGTTCACTTCTCATGTTTAGTCCTTAATTCTCATGTCCAGTATTTAAAAAAAATATATTTTCCTTTATTCATATGATTAATTAATTAATTTAGTTATTTATTTGGTTTGTTGGTTGGTTGTTCACCCTTTCCTGAACAAACAAGCACTACTAACTTTTTTAAAAATAATGACAATTTTAATATATATATATATATATATACACTTAGGCCTGTCGCAATAATCAATATATCGACTTATCGCGCAATATATGTACATGACCTCAATAATTTATGGTGACGCAACATATCGCCCATTATATTTATTTAAAAATTTATGATGGAAAAATCTCCATACAAATGCTTTGTGCATTTTTCTTTTTTCTACTTGTTACTTTGCACTTTTTGTTAGAACTTAATACTTAATTTCCATAATCTAAATATTCTTACAAATTAAAAGTTTGTTGTCATTTGGAAGTGTGTAGGCCTTCTTGCATTATTATGCTGTTACATTATGATTATATATTCAGTGGCATAAAAATGGTCTTTAAAATGACAATAATATCGCTTATCGCAATTATTTCTGGGGCATTATATCGCACAACAAAAAGTTGTTATCGTGACAGGCCTATATACACTGCCATTCAAAAATTTGGGATTAGTAAGATTTTTAAAGTTTTTTTTAAAGAAGTTTCATCAAGGCTGCGTTGATTTGATCAAAAATACAGAAAAAAAATGTAATATTGTGAAATTCTATTACAATGTAAAATAACGTTTTTCTATTTTAATATACATTAAAATCTAATTGATTCTTGTGATAAAAGCTTAATTTTCAGCTTCATTACTCCAGTATTCAGTGTCACATGATCCTTCAGAAATCATTCTAATATGCTGATTTATTATATATTAATATTAATTAATTATATATTAGTTTTTTAAAATGTAATTTATTCCTGTGATGCAAAGCTTAATTTTCAGCTTCATTACTCCAGTATTCAGTGTCACATGATCCTTCAGAAATCATTCTAATATGCTGATTTATTATATATTAATATTAATTATATATTAGTTTTTAAATTTTCTTTCTTTCTTTCTTTCGGTATTTTATATGTATCTACCTATATACATGATATATTAATTTGTCTTGCAGACAGTAAATGTCATATTATTCCTTTTAAAAAGTCAACTCTGCTGAGAATTATTGTATTTGCAGCTCAACTAAATGCTCAATCTCCATCAGTGATAGTGTTCAGCACTAGTCGTTCCACCCATCAGTAAAGAGGCCCACATGATCTGTAATTATGTTTTCACAGCGCCATTGATGGGTTGATCGAGGTCTTCCTGGGATACAGGTTCAGTGACGGCACGTCTGTGTGCCGATGGAGCGTCACAGAATTATTGTATTTGCAGCTCAACTAAATGCTCAATCTCCATCAGTGATAGTGTTCAGCACTAGTCGTTCCACCCATCAGTAAAGAGGCCCACATGATCTGTAATTATGTTTTCACAGCGCCATTGATGGGTTGATCGATACCCATGAGGTCTTCCTGGGATACAGGTTCAGTGACGGCACGTCTGTGTGCCGATGGAGCGTCATGCTCACGCCTCCCTCGCCCTTGTTATTAATAGCGTCATGAATATTTGAAATAAATGTATGAATCAAGCTAAATTGCAAGTCGTTGTTTCTCGCTGCCTCCCATCACGATACGCCCACTCCTGAGTTCATTATGTCTCTGTTAAGTCACCCTGTGTACCTGGAGCCGCGAGAGGCCTCCTGATCCCACACAATATTGGGGTCGGTAGATTCATTAAAGTTATAGTGAGAGAAGGCCTCTGTGTAGTGTTTGCTGTCATGGGAATCTCTCCTTTTGAATTAAAGTAGTTCCATCCTGCCTGTTCAGCGCCGCTAGATTTGTCTTCATCAAAAAACAGCCTTACTGTAAAACAATGCTTGGTTCATTCAGCTGATTTTTTTTATTTTTTATTTCATGTGCAATAGCTTTATATCTTTATGCATGAATGATAGCAGAAATAGTGTTGTTTTTTGAGGAGAGGTGTGTTATAGTGAGCTCTTTTGTATTGTAAACTTCAAAACCTGCTGTTTTGTTTTCTTTTAGCACATTTAGGAGACCTTTTCATGAGCTGTTTTGATGCAAAAGTGCATTTTAGTGTTTATTGGTGCTGACTCTTTGCCCTTGTGCACAAAGGTTCTTAGCATAGCATGCCAGCAAGACGCTTCCCTACAGAGAAGCACACGCTCACACTGTTTATAAAGCGTCTTCAAAGACAGCCAGCTGTGCTCAAAGGCCCAGGGCCTGGGTGATCTGCTGGGCTGGAAGGCTTCAGCCACAGCTGGTTGCGTTAAGAGAGTCTACACTCGCCTCTCATCATCAGAACGGCAGAATATATAGAGCTGCAGCAACCAGCTGAGACCATCACTATTGACCCTTCAGCAAAGTAGCCCCGCTCACACAAACACACTCATTCATAGCTCACTGGAGCGTCTGAACAACTGTCCGCTCCGCAGAGTTCTGCCCGCAGCGCGAGACATGTGCGTCCAATTACTTGAATGAATAAAAAAGGGTCTTAATACTAATTAGGGTAATAGCCAGACTGAACAGCTGATGTTTGTGGTCAGCTGGTCTTTTTAAACACTCTGGGGGGAATTTGCTAAGAATGAATTGTGTCCGCGGAGGCATGGTTTATTTTAGATTTTGGTTTAGTATTTGATTAGCTAAAATGATCAAGGAATGGCATAACAAGGCCAGCTATGGTTTTGTGCAGGATACAACAGCCCGCCTTTTAATATTACAGACTTTTTATCAATTTTTCGAATGTGCTTTTATGTGTATATTTTCAGTTTTTCAAATTATTATTATTTTTTTCCTGTTTACCTTCAATTTGTATTTATTTTTCAGTTTTACTTTAGGCATTTTATTACCTTAACTTGACCTTATTTTGTTTTAAGTATCTGATTCACTAAAACGTATACACTAAATAGCATAATCAAGGCTAGCTACAGTTTTGAATGCAAGTTTGATGACCTGTTAATATTACAGACTTTTTATTAATAATTTGAATTAGCTCTTATTTTAATTATTTTCGTTTTTATCTTAATTTTAGTTCAAGTTATTAGTGATTTTGTGGTGCTTTTTCATTTTTATTAGTTTTTGCTTTTTTAATATTTCTATTTAGCTTGAATTTATATTTCTTTCAGTTTTACTTTAGAAATTTTTGTACTTCAGCTTGAACGTATTTCTTACATAACGTGTATAACTTGTTTTCAAATTTTATTTTAATTTATTTTAATTCATTTAATTTTAGTTTAAATGTGAGTAATTCTATCATGTGCTTTTGTCATTTCTTAGTTTAATATTTTTCTATTTAGCTTCAATTTATAATTCCTTGTTTTGTTTTATTTGAGTAATTTTAGTACTTATTTATTTGAAACTTATTTTATATGCTATTTGATAGCATACAGTTTGATTATTTTATATGCATAACTATTGTTGTTTTATATTTTACTTATTTTATATGCTATATATAAGCTTAATTTATTTACTAGTTTTTTAATATCTGATTCATTAAAATGATCAAGCAATGGTGCAAACAAGGCCAGCAGTGATTTAAATGCTAGGTTGTGGAGGTTGCAGCAGACTGTCTGCATGAATGCACTGCATGCATGACTGCACGAACTTTTGAGACAAAACATGAGCTTGCTGACATTTTTATGATGGATTGTTGTGATTCTGCTGTCACCTGTGGTGATTTATGATCACAGCGTCACGTACATAAACCTGTTCTTTATGTGGCAGAGTGTCAAAACATGCAGTAATGACACTCTGTCAAAGTTCAGCATGCTTGTTGGTGATATAGTTGAACACACACACATATACGCATTATTTTAACCATTTATTATTATTTTTTTTTAGGCCTCCCTAAGATGATGGTCATCCGTAATTACTATGGGGTTCCAAGCCCCCTCTGTGGCCCACCGCTCAACATCCAGGTTGGTGATGTCATCGAGGTGATAGAGGCAAACGTCCGTAGCTGTTGGTGGAAGGTGAGACAGTTTTACATCTTAAACTCGCTCCTCATAAACATTTCAAGTCATACAGCCCTGCAGGGATAATGCTAGCACGCGTTCAGCTGCTAATTGATTGCCTCTCGTGTTTGTGGCAAAGGCCGAGCGGCTGTGTTGTTATGCTTTGCTAAGCGTGACTCGCTGTGAAATGCTAACTAATCCAACCCTTTGTCAACACAAGAAAGCTGTTGTGAGTTAGGTTTCATAGCCATACAAAAACAACACGGACCAGCACAACACCCAGAGAGCAGACACGCGCTTGACAACAGATTTTATTTGTCACATTGTCATTTGATAGGAGGTGTTGGTGCACATGCAGTTCTCTGGCATGAGCCACACTAAAGAAAATCACAGAAATAGATTCAGAGTAATGAATAAGTACAATGCTAATCATTTTCCTGTAAACCTCAACATATAAGTGTCTTTTTGTCCTATTGTGCTCCTAAACCTTTAGCAGATATATGCATTTAGTTTACAGTTTACAGTCTTTCTCTGCCTGGAAAACTAACCAAAATAGTTTTTTTTTTTTTTTGGTTCAATCAGTTGCTGTCTAGAATGAGTTGTGGCTGTGACATAACTAAATTAAAGTATAAACCAGTATTTATTAACATTTTTAATTAGCTTTTATTTTTATATTTTGAGTTTTAATTTTAGTAATTTTGTTATATTCTTTGTCATTTTTATTTTATTTGTTTTATATTTCTATCTAGCTTTAAATTATATTATATTTAATTATATATATATATATATATATATATAATACATATACATTTTATTTATATATATTATTATATTTATTTATATTTATTCTAGCTTTAAATTATAATTATTATATTTATTTATCACCGTTTCTAATTTTCTTTTAATTATTTGAATTATTATTTTTTAATCTAACATATTTGATTTGATTTCAGATTTATTTCAATTAATGAAAATGAAACAAATTTTAATAGTTTAACAATTATAACACAAAACGAAAGCATAGAAATTAATAATTAAAAAAGGACAAACTTTCTTTTGATAGAAATGGTCAAAACACTCTGAATTTGAACGCTTGTGATAAAAAGACTAGTAAGTCTCCAGTGTCACACACTATGCACAGATTTACAAAAACAAACAAAATTAATTGAGCACGTCCAATCAAATTCTACAAATAATTTCATCTTTGTCTCATTTGTATGAGTCAACATTTAATACTCTTAAGGAGGCACGCCTGAGACAAAGTTGAAACAATTGAGTGATTATGTTTCTTGAATTATGAAAAGTGCAACTTTTGAGCAATCAAATGTTCTTCTGGGATGGGACACAAAAGCCATCTTGATGCCCACTCTTCTTGCTCTGGTTATTTACATGCCAAGGCTATGAGGAAACCAGCCAATGATTGTCCAGAGAGCCAGAGAATTGGCAGAGCCTGGCACACACGCGAATGCCCCTACATCCCTCTCCATCATACGAGTCCAGCTGTCCAGGACGCTTCTCCTCAGCCCTGTTTTAACATGTTAATCTCGTTCTGCCTCATTTCTAAGACCGCCGTCCGCTGCAGGCTCCGAACGCCCAGCTGTCCCATGCACCTGGAAGTTGATTTATTCAATTTGAACTCATGCAAAATTACACCGCCTGTGTCACCTGAGACCTCATAATATCCAGCGTCCCGCGGCAGATCCGGACGGAGCAAAGGACGATCAGAACCCTCGTAGCCCTGGTAACCCGGAGACAATTATTGCCGCTCTGGTGCCTAGACAAACGCAATCACTCACTGTAATTTCATTTGGGCCTTTGGTTGCCATCTGTTTGATCTAACAGGGTTATGAGTTTAATCATTATTAGGCCCTTATCTGAGCAACAACCAATAGCGGGGCGGCATCGTGAGTGCTGATAAAATGTCAATGCACTAAATGCATTGGGGCTGGAGGTGGGAGGGTATGCTTAAGGATCCACTTACAAATTTAATTTGTTTAAGGAAAAGGTAGATGAGACAGAAATGCACTTTCTACATCTCCCTGGAAGACCGTCTGAGGAGGAGGAGAAGGATCTGAGCATTACTGGCACTTTGGGCTGGAGAACCATCAATTGTTGTTATATTAGCGATATATATATATATATATATATATATATATAATACATATACATTTTATTTATATATATTATTATATTTATTTATATTTATTCTAGCTTTAAATTATAATTATTATATTTATTTATCACCGTTTCTAATTTTCTTTTAATTATTTGAATTATTATTTTTTAATCTAACATATTTGATTTGATTTCAGATTTATTTCAATTAATGAAAATGAAACAAATTTTAATAGTTTAACAATTATAACACAAAACGAAAGCATATAAATTAATAATTAAAAAAGGACAAACTTTCTTTTGATAGAAATGGTCAAAACACTCTGAATTTGAACGCTTGTGATAAAAAGACTAGTAAGTCTCCAGTGTCACACACTATGCACAGATTTACAAAAACAAACAAAATTAATTGAGCACGTCCAATCAAATTCTACAAATAATTTCATCTTTGTCTCATTTGTATGAGTCAACATTTAATACTCTTAAGGAGGCACGCCTGAGACAAAGTTGAAACAATTGAGTGATTATGTTTCTTGAATTATGAAAAGTGCAACTTTTGAGCAATCAAATGTTCTTCTGGGATGGGACACAAAAGCCATCTTGATGCCCACTCTTCTTGCTCTGGTTATTTACATGCCAAGGCTATGAGGAAACCAGCCAATGATTGTCCAGAGAGCCAGAGAATTGGCAGAGCCTGGCACACACGCGAATGCCCCTACATCCCTCTCCATCATACGAGTCCAGCTGTCCAGGACGCTTCTCCTCAGCCCTGTTTTAACATGTTAATCTCGTTCTGCCTCATTTCTAAGACCGCCGTCCGCTGCAGGCTCCGAACGCCCAGCTGTCCCATGCACCTGGAAGTTGATTTATTCAATTTGAACTCATGCAAAATTACACCGCCTGTGTCACCTGAGACCTCATAATATCCAGCGTCCCGCGGCAGATCCGGACGGAGCAAAGGACGATCAGAACCCTCGTAGCCCTGGTAACCCGGAGACAATTATTGCCGCTCTGGTGCCTAGACAAACGCAATCACTCACTGTAATTTCATTTGGGCCTTTGGTTGCCATCTGTTTGATCTAACAGGGTTATGAGTTTAATCATTATTAGGCCCTTATCTGAGCAACAACCAATAGCGGGGCGGCATCGTGAGTGCTGATAAAATGTCAATGCACTAAATGCATTGGGGCTGGAGGTGGGAGGGTATGCTTAAGGATCCACTTACAAATTTAATTTGTTTAAGGAAAAGGTAGATGAGACAGAAATGCACTTTCTACATCTCCCTGGAAGACCGTCTGAGGAGGAGGAGAAGGATCTGAGCATTACTGGCACTTTGGGCTGGAGAACCATCAATTGTTGTTATATTAGCGACAGCTGTATTGGAAGACCATTTTATTTCTAGAAGCAGCTGTATATAAATTATTTGTCAATTAGATAAACATGCAGATTGCATTGACTGTATCTGATTTTCAACGTACTATCACTTTATTAAATTGAATTTTGATATTACAGACCTTGTTGCATGCTATTTGCATGTTAACATCTACCATCTAAATCAGTGCTTCCCAAACCTGATTAGGGAGACATACAAAATATGCAGGGCAGGGGGTCCTCCAGGACAGGTTTGGGAAGCACTGGTCTAAATGTATTACCTTAAATTTCAATTATGTAAAGGAATAATTCACCCAAAAATGAAAATGTTCTGAAATTTTACAGTGAATGGGTGCCGTCAGAATGAGAGTTTAAACTGCTGATAAAAACAACACAATAATCCGCAAGCAAGATGTTAATTTATGGACTGGAGTCATGTGGATTACTTGTGGATTATTGTGATGTTTTTATCAGCTGTTTGGACTCTCATTCTGACGGCACCCATTCACTGCAGAGGATCCATCAGTGAGCAAGTGATGAAATGCTGTTCTAATGAAGAAACAAATTCATCTACATCTTGAAAGGCTTGAGTGTGAGTAAGTTTTCAGCAAATTTTCATTTTTGAGAAAACTATTCAGCGACAGCATAGCGTTCCTTACAACTGCAAAAAAGGGCAAAAAAGGAGCAAGAGAAAAAAAAAATGCAAAACATTACTATTTATATACTATTTAGAATGGATAGTATGCAAATTAGGATGCAAATTAGGATTCTCTTCATCTCTTTCTTTTTTAAACAAACAAAAAAATAAATAAAAAACATGATTTTTTTTGTAAACATTCCGTAAATATTTTACAAACAGACTGCTGGATGCATTATATTGTTTCCTCGTTCTCCTGGTATTCCTCGTGTATTCTCCTAAGACTTTTTCAGCTCTGATGAACTCTCGGCTGTAAATTTGTTGCGTGTTGTGTTAAGTACTAATTGTTACTGAATTATTGAGGAGGAGTTGCCCAGCTGAACGTAATGTAATTATCTGCCATGGTTTCAGGGTAAAGTCCTGGCAACTAAAGAGGTTGGCTTCTTTCCAAGCGACGCCGTGAAGCCTTGCCCATGTGTGAGTACAAATACCCGATTATATTATAATGCTAAAATGATTCTCTATTCTCTGCCAAACAAAACAAATATGATCAAGGCAAGGTAGACTTGTCCTTGTGTGCATGTTGTTTTTAAATGGTTTAGGTATGCAAGCACGACTTCAGGGCTGTCTTTGAATGACAGATGCATTGTGGGTGATTGTGTGTTTGTTTACTGCAACACTGGTTTATCTTGTGAATAGTGTTATCACATTCTGTCCACATGCCCTGCTATTATTTGCAAGATGATTTACAATCATAATTATGTTCAAGTCATTTTAAGAAAAAGTATGCTAGGTTATCTTTATGAGTGCATTTAGAAAGTTGTGGTTGTAAAAAGATACAGTAACTGGGGCAGATTTTAGCACTAATATGAGTTGTATTGTTCCAGACTTGAGCTGTGAGTTAAAAATACTGTATGAAAATCAGGTTAAGTGAAATTTCAAGAACAAAAGCACACATATGTGTGCTCTACTTTCTTTATTTAATCCAGTTTCTTACCTCTTTTTTATCCCTTTCTATTTTTTAGGTACCCAAACCTGTTGACTACTCTTCTCAGCCTTGGTATGATCTTTATTCTCACTACCAGAATAATATATATATTCATTGTTATTACCATCTACCAATTTTTTTCTCTTTATTATTTTTTATGTAAAAAATAATCTGATATTTCATTATAATATAAATGCATTACATTTCAATAATTAATTAATTAATATAATTATATATAATTAAATATATAATCATAATTCAATATAACTGAGAATCTCACCAAATATACAAATATCTTGCTATAAATTTTAAACTGTAATTTCACAAACGTTTGACAAATATTTACCCCATAAAAAAAATGTATTGCTCTAATGTGAAAAATCCCATTCTCTTTACTCTAATACAGTAAATATAAATGTAAATACATGTGACATTTTGGGTGCAACTTCAGGTCAGCACTATGATTGCCCTGTTAGCTATTAACCTCATATATTGCCCATTAAGTTTTCACCTCTGACCTTTCGTTCAGGTTCGCAGGCCCAATGGAGAGGCTGCAGGCAGAGGCAGCGCTGCTCAACAGGAGGAGCAGCACATACCTGGTCCGTCACAGAAGCCGAGAGTTTAACGAATATGCCATCAGCATCAAGTGAGTTAAAACGGCACACTTGGTTATTTTACCATGTAATTTAGAAACAACAAATAATTAGTAAAAATAGTATGGGTGAATTGAGAAAACGTTTCATAAGAGCAATATTCCACCCACAACAATATTAATAATTAACAACAACAACAACAAAACCCAAACAACAATAGAACAACTCTATTGTGTGTGTTTAACTCTATTGTGTGAACAACTATGGTGTGTGTGTTCAAGCGCAAGGCCAAAAGACAAAAGCTGCCCTGTGAGATGCCATTTTTTTTCAGTGATTTTAGATGGTCCTGTGTGCTTTCTCTCTAAAAAGTGTGAGCTCGTAACTTTTAATCCAAGGACTAATGGAGACGCCCCACCCCTCGCTATCGACCCCTTCTCCCTGCATGAAAAGCTCTTTGCCCCATGCATTACTATGGCAGCTCCCCATAGGGGATGGGCAGCATCGATCGCAATGATCACCAGAAAATTACTCTCATCATTTATTCATGGCCCACAGGTACAACAACGACGTGAAACACATCAAGATCTTAACAAAGGAGGGACTCTTCCACATTGCAGAAAACAGGAAGTTCAGAAGCATTTTAGTAAGTGCTAATGTTTTGTGCCAGAATATTATTAAAACGTCTTTATCATATAGAGTGAAAAGTAAATGTTACGCTCATATGTTTTTAAGGTCGGCGCAATAAAGATAAATGCTTGCATTATACCAGCTTATTACGTTTGGAATCTCTTTGTATCATTTCTACGATCCCTTTTGTTTTGTCATCTGTTTGCCTTCTAAAGGGCATTAGGAAATCACGCTGCTTAATGTCTCTATTCTGCAGAAAAATCAAATGTCTTTTGTCAGCTTCTTTTTGAAAGCGCTTTTAGATTCGATCTCGCAAATGCCAGTTAAATAACATTATTGGATTGCGAATGCTGGAGTCATATTGAATCCGTTCATATATTTATTTTTTATTTTCCCTTTTAATGGCTGTAGATATTTCCCCTTTTATGCGAACTGACATCATGTTGAGCGTATGTGTGTGTTTAATGCAGGAGCTGATCGAGTATTACAAACATCACTCTCTGCGGGAAGGATTCAGGACACTTGATACCACGCTGCAGTTCGCCTACCGAGAGCCGGAGAATGGAGCCAACAGTACGTACTGCGCTAACAAAAACAGAGATTCCTAGTTGCAGATTCACACGAACAACTCAGAAATAACAAAACATGCGCTTGTTATATTTATCACAAAAGCCTCAGTTTAATCTTAGTTTGAGTATTGAGTGATTCATGATGTTCTTGATTTAGTGTTCAAACACGTGACATTGTTGTGATGGACAGTATCTATGGTCACCAGGGCAGTTGCTATGGTAGCAGTGTTTCTTCATTGAAAGTCTTTGAGCTCTTTGATGCAGATTTGAGACAAAATCTTCACTTGTGTTCTCAGGTGTCTTGATGTTTAGCAATTTGATGTCTCTTAGTGTTTTTCGTAACCAGAAGGTACAATTCATGAATTGTACATGAACTAGTATAGCACAAATAATTCTAAGTATGCTTGATTTCAGCTTGATATATATAATAATGATATATATCAAGCATACTTAGAATTATTTGTGCTATACTAGTTCATGTACAATTCATGAATTGTACCTTCTGGTTACGAAAAACACTAAGAGACATCAAATTGCTAAACATCAAGACACCTGAGAACACAAGTGAAGATTTTGTCTCAAATCCAGCGGCTGTTTGCACTAAGTAATATATTGCACTAAGTGAAAATAGCATATTTTCTTAGCGATAGATGCTATTTACACTAAGTGCAAATAGCTGTAGATTCTATTTACACTAAAATAGCAGTATTTTCTGCTATTTATACTACTTATTACAAATAGTGGCAATTATCTGCACCTCAGTATTGTAGTACATTATAAAACAGTATGTAATAATAACATATTGAGTGTAAATTATAATTTTAATTAAAATTATTAAATTGATGCCACCTTATTGGGACAATATAAGCCCTCTCTACACCTACCCTAACCCTACCTGATACTTTTTCAACTTTTTGATTATTTTCTTCATTTTTATTTAAAATAATTGCCTTTCCGATGTGATGAGATTTGAAAAGGGAGAAAAAAAATGTTCGGCAAAAGGCGGATTCGCTCTCTGATATATACACTCCGGAAAAATATATATTATGTGTTATATTATTTTAATTTTAATTTATTTTAGTGAATTATAAATTGTATATATAAATATAGCACAAATGGAAAGCATGCAGGACTCATTTTTGAGTTAAAAACTGGATTTATATGATTGCAGCATTAGCTAAACATTCACATCAGCTTTTGCATACTTCCACTTGACTATGTTTCTGGCCAAAGAAGTTTTAGACATCTTCTGTCTGTTCATGGCTTTGTGATAATGAAAGCTCCTTAGACATCTCTGTTGTTCTCCAGTTATGGGAGAGGAATGAGTTAAAAACCTCAAACGTGGGCTATTAGTAAAACCCTGAAGTACTGAGCTGTGCTTACAGCCTGATCTGAGAGTTTATGGTGCATTGCAATCAGCGCTTAGATGAGATTTTATTGTAGCTCCATATGTCACAGCGAGGGTCTCGTCGCAATTGGGAAATGTCGGCAGATTGAGAAGCTGGGGGGACGTCACTCAAACACTTCACTGCTTTAACAAAGCAACTCTGACCAAAGAATGGATCCCCCAGCATGCATTGGTGCTGTTTTCCCTCCTTTTACCTCCAAGGTCCATTTCCATGCAGCATAGCTTCTTTTCATTTTTTACATCTCAGCGTCTGCTTATGTGCCAATAAATGCAAATTACATGCAATTGTTTTTGAGACGACTGCCAGAGGCACACAAGTCTTTCATGTAAACCTCTGCACGAGACCTTTAAACCACGCTAGCAGACGGGGAACGCCACATACAGAGCATCAGGGGCATCTACTCTAAGTGTAAACTTGAACCTGCGTAGGCAGCATACAGCAAGAGAAAAAAATCAGCATTGCAGAACGGAAGCAGTCTGTACAGTGTGACCTCCAATGTTCTTGTTGGACACAGAAATAATCGTGGCTTTAATTCGCAGGTGAAGGGAGAACAAATTGCTTGATGGTTGCCCCTTCCTTCCTCATATTTATTTATATCCAGGAAGCGCTGGAGATGCTGTCAGCTCTGATGCGTTTCTACTTATATTCCATCGAATGTGAAGCGAGGCACACGGGTTGGACGGCAAATCCATAACCCTGAATATTTACGTTATGGATAACGACGTGCTGAAGACAGGAGGTTTGAGCCTGGCAGAGTTTGCAGAATAGTGGGCGGATAGGTGTTTGGTTCTCCTGGAGTGATGTGGGTGGAATCTCAAGTGCCCGTTAGCAGCTCGGACATCACAGGTTGGGTAGTGGTCAGAGACAAGGCCTTTTGAAGACACACAGCATGTGCTCCTGCATAAATTCATGAGCTCGGTTAGCCTCAGCTTGGGTTGTCCCTTCAAAACTTTGAACAGATGTTTAAGAAAGACATGAGATGCTTCTGAACCTAGTCAGAGTTGAACCGCTTGCTAGAGAATGAACAGACGAGTCAGAGGGAAAATAAAGAATGAGAAGTTACAGGAAGAGGAAAATCAATCATGAATTTAAAATTGACCCAATTTATATTCTTAATATGTTTTTATATCTTACTGTGGATGTTCCATAGTTTTAAGGGAAGCTCCACCTCTGAAATTATTATTATTTTAGCACTATTTTTATTAAATGAAAATTTATCTAGAGGTATTATTTTTAGTCATTATGTTCCAAAAATGTGGAAACTTTTAAAAAGTAGGCCAGGAACACATGCTAAAACAACGGTTAAGCCTGATGCTCCATACACACTCCTAATCATCAGATTGTTCAATGTTCATTGACGTGTTGTTAGTTACACTGCCTTCGAACATATTGTGTTCCTGACACACTGGGGGTCCATGATGCTCTGGGCCGAGCCGGTCAGATGGAGCATCAGATGGCGAGGGGAACTCGCTTCACTGCCACAGTCGAGCACAGACGCTCCTGGAGTTTTAGTAAACACAAACCTTACCGATAGTTCTCGGTGGAAAGGGACATGAATATAAACATATTCCAGAGCTGACATTTGTGTTCTACTGGTGGGAATCTCTTAGGCTGTGTTCACAATGTCATTCCAGATCTGTATATTTCTGTATCCGATTGGAATCTGATCAAAATAATTAAATATCCACACTGTGTATCGAAACTGATTAGATCCGATTTGTGGTGCTCTTTCGTTTTCTGAAATATCTGCATTGGTTTCTATGGAAATTATGTTGTGTTGGTATATCTACGCCCAAAAAAACAACAACAGCATCATAGCAATACAGATGCTGTCTTACAGCATGACAATATGTAGCCACTGCGCTGAACTGCGATGCCTTATTAGGCAACGGCACAAATGAAGAAGATATTCACACTGTCAGTCCAAATCTGATTATTTCTGTTTCCAATTGGGATCTGATTTAAATAATTGAATGCCCATATTGTGTATTGCAACTGTTTAGAACAGATTTGTGTGTACCTTGGTGCTGCTTTATTCTCTGCTGTGTCCATCAGTCTCAATATTCAAAGAGGTTTCATGTTATTTTTTGTTTAAAATAGAGAAATCTTGATCTCGAAATCGGAATCTTGAAATCGGAATCTCCCACGATTCCGAATAGACAACAGAACAGAATAACCTTACTAATAATTTACTAGAGGGTCTGACAAAATGTTAATCGCTGCAGTCTATTTAAAAAATATATATAATTTATTTGAATGCATTGTTAAAAAAAAGATTGAATGAAAGATTCAATGACTCAGTCATAAACACTTCACTTGTTTCATGACTGGATGAATCGGCATTTTTGAACAAATATCTTGAATTAATAATTCAATGACTCCCTCACAAAGACTTCACTTGCTTCATTACTGGACGAATGATTTAATGACAAATGCATTTTTTAACAGTCACTTGTCTCCACCTACTGGTGGAACAGCGTAATCAATACAATCTTTATTTAAAGTATCAATTTACTTTCAAATGCTGATTTACTCTTTTTTGATATATACACTATACACCTTCATTCAAGTAATTCTTTGAATGTTTGTATTTTGGAATAAGATCGTGTGGTTGTTCGAATCAAGATTGCGATCTTTTAACAATTAATCGTGCAGCTTTACGCTCAAACTTTGTTAAATATGATCAGATTTGGACTGACAGTCTGAACAAGGCAAGGGCAAGTGTTGATGCAAGAAGTTAGCATTTGTTTACAATCTGCTCTGTTTGCTTGCAAATGTTGCGTTTGACTTAAACATGCTTTTTCTTTTGCTTTTCTTCTCTTTACCCTTGCCCCACCCTTACCTCACTCCGCCTCGCCCCACCACGCCCATGCCTCCGCCCACCTCAGCCCCGCTGCTCTGCGGGCTGTCTTTTCTAACTCCCGCCGGCTACAGCTTTGTCCCCCCCTCTACCGCCCCATTCTGGTCAGGTACAGGTACACGTTTTCTTTCTCCATTGGTGTCGTTTTGTCAAGGTCGCAGGAGATCTGAGGCTGCCATGTTTACACGCCACCCCCTGCATTTAACCCCGCCTCCCATCTCATTGTGCGTGTCTGTTTATAGATCATCTCATAGCCGCTATCATCTTCTCTAACGCATAGCCGAATGCACCATATGTCCTTTGTCAGCCGCACGACACTGACTGACTGACAATATTACTCATCATTATCTCATTCCAGGCAGTTAGCTTATTAGATCTGACATTAAGGGCGGTTTTTGTCAGGGGAGCCGTGATGAAAAGGAAGGAGTCGGGCTAACTTTGTGACATCTCTCTCTCCTTTACAAACTTCTCACTTTGAGCATGACGGCAGCTAACTGGCAGCCAGTTCTCTGTCTGTACAAGTCTTGCTCACTTTAAAACAGCTGAAGAGAAAGCGTCCTGGCACCGAGGCGGATCTCATCAACACACGTCTGGCAGGAGGCCTAGCTTCTCTGGCTGCCGTTCACAAAGTCCTCAGAGCCTCTGAAGTCCGATAAAACAAAGGCTCATTTGAATCCGCCACCACGTATTTCCCTCGGCCCACTGCATTTAGAAAGAACCGCCAAACGGGTCCAACAAAACGTCAGTGAGCTGCTAGAAGGAACATGATGTGTTTTTGAGGGAAAAGTCGTCTGAAATGTAATTAACCCAGTGGATTATGCTGTTGACACATCTCAAGACATAATCAAAACAGCCACTTCAGCTGTGATTGGACCCGTCCCAGATTCACGAGAATCATTTATTTAGAGTGGATGTGCTAAGGCAGGCAAACACATGAAGGAGTGCGGTGATTACAAGAGTCCTTAGGGAGACTGTACAGCCTGACTCCATGCATCCATCCTCTCTTTGTTTGTCTGGTTAATTTTGTCTGATTCTCATCTTCGTTTTTGTCCTGTGATGTTTGCTTCACTCTTTTTTTCTTGTCTCTACAGTGTTCACTCCTAAGGTGATGGGTGTGGCGATCGCCCGCTACGACTTCAGCTCTCGGGACACGCGGGAACTGTCTCTGCAGGAGGGCGATGTGGTGAAGATCTACAGCAAAACTGGAGCCAATGGCTGGTGGAGGGGTGAAGTCAATGGACGGGTGAGTGTGTTTGTAGATGTAATAGGATGCATACTAGCTTACTGCATACTGCATATTATATACTGCATAAATAGTATGTGACGCATATTACGCAATGATAGATGTTTCAAACAGTGTCTTACGAATTTGTGACAGTTTCATGTTATGGCATGTTTAGTTGATCGTGTCGTATCACATTATCGTCATGGAAAAAAAATGCTTGCATTTGAAAGTAAATTTTGTTAAATTTAAAAAAAAAATCTAAAAACAAAATAAAAAAAACTTCTTATATGTTAGGTAATACACTACAGATTTTTTTTTTTAAAGAAATGAATGCTGTTATTCAGCAAGGATGCATGAAATTGATTAAATCGACATTACATTTTATAATTTCACAAAATATTTTTATTTCAAATAAATGCTGTTCTTTGAAACTTTCTATTTATTAATGTGCTCAAGCTAGTTATCATCTATCCAGTTTCCGCAAAAATACTAAGCAGCATAACTCTTTTCAACATGGATAATAACAAGAAATGTTACTTAAGCAGCAGTCAGCATATTAGAATGATTTCTGAATGATCATGACTCTGAAGACTGGAGTAATGTTGCTGAAAATTCAGCTTTGTATCACAGGAATAAATTACATTATAAAAGATATCAAAATAGAAAATTTAAATTGTAATAATATTTAACAATATTAAAATTTTTACTGTATTTTTGAACAAATATCAAATAAATGATTAAAGCATAAGAGACTACTTTGAAAAAATATCAAAAATCTTACCAACCTCAAATCTTTTAATGGTAATCTATGTTAAAAATTATGGATGTTTTTACTTCCAATTCATTTGTCACATTGGAAACAGAAGGTCAGAGGGAACGCATTGCATCTCGTGAATTGCTAAATATAATTTGCTTTACAATATTAGTTCAATAGATTTAATATTTAGTGGAGGTATATTTAAATATAAAAACAATATAATGTATAATGTCTATTTTAAAATATAAAGTGCTTTCAGTGCACAGTCACAGAGCACCTGTTAACTGTAAATAAATGTGAAAGTACTGTCTGTTTATACTGTCTGTTCATATCATGCTTCTCTTCTCTGATCTGAGAAGACAGACATCCTGTTAAGAATGACAGAAAACTGAAAATGTGGCATCGCTATCGAATTAAGCGGCATTATTTCATACTGAGCCCAAAAGCTTATTTTTACTTAAAGCGCATCGAACTGTCAAATGCTTTTTGAGCCTCTTGAGCCGTCTTATAATGGTTTCATCAGGGAGGCTGTAAGTGTAACTTAGTGAATAAAACGTTCAGGGCTGTTTTATGGATGCCAGTAATAGATTTTGGGATCAGTGTTTTGAACGGTTCCCCTGACTCCTTCTGAAATGGACAGAACTGCCTTTGTAGCTTTTGTATTCATGTGTTGCCTTCGTGCGCGTGAGCGAGGTGTGACACGATAAAACGTCAACCAATAAATCACATCTCTCCCTTGTTAATCTGCGTTTTGTCCTAACCAGCTGTGATTGTCAAGAGTGGTGTTTGAAATGATGTTTTGATGGATGCTTGGTTTCTATTTTTGTTGCCTAGTGATGGACAGTCCAGCCTACAGTAAAATCTAATTGGTCCAAATTTCAGCTTCACATAGTTATAGTATTTTGAATATCAAATGCAGGGCTCAATAATAAGAATGGACCCATTAGTTGATCTTGTACATCTATTTTTATGCCTTGCAAAATGTAAATGTTTGGTTTGATCTACAAAATGTAAATTGTTGTTTTTGCAAATTATGCTGACTTTTTATATTATATATTATGCTATTGTTACCAATATTTTTTATCCAGCTTACTAACAGATTTTGTTGAATTTGCAAAATGACCTGTGATAGTCTTGGAATAATTGTAGGTTTACTTCCCCTCCCCCCCACCCCATTTTTCTTTCGAGGAAAAAAAACACACTTTTTTATTAAAG